CTCATGCTCTGTTATCTGAGGTTAGCGAGCTGCAAACGGTAGGGAGAAAAGGAGTAGCTGCCTTGGGGCTTGGTGATTTAAAAGGCCCTGGGGCTCCCTGCTGCTGCTAATAGAGCCCTGAGCCCTTTAAATCACTGCCAGGGCCTTGGGCAGCAGGGGCTGAGTAGTGCTGGAGGGCTGGCTGGGGGAAGTTAGCTCACAGACCCACCCCTTCCATAGAAGCCTCTGACCCTTCCAGAGGACTGGAGTCAGCTCACTACCTGCCCCTTGCCAGGAGGCCTGGCTATTCTAAGGGCAGCCCTGCCCCTGATTTAAGCAGTAGTGCAGACCAGCCCTGAGAGAACATAGCTATTTTGACCGAGAGGCCCTCCTATCATATGGTGCTGTCTACACCAGTGGTTAGGTCAACAACTATATTGCTCAGGGCTATGGCTCTTTCGCACCCATCATTAACACAGTTGTATGGACATACCTTTGCACCACAGACCAATGCCAGCCTCCTTCTGTGGCGCAAGGAAGACCCTGGTACATGTCTACCTTGAGAGTACCAGGTTGCAGTGTTTTGTTTGGCTCCTCCAGAACTTCTTACAGCTGCACTTTGCTCCTCACCTATTTATGTGCATCTCATACATGGTTCCACAAAGTCGTGGGACCTCCTTGTTTACCTCATTGTCAACAGCAGGAAGCGGACCTTGGCTGAGGGTGGGGCCTCTGTGCAGCCTGTTTTCTTTCCTTTACCCATTCATACATCTGGACATAGTTCCTCTAGGTGGCGTCACCATCAATGCTTTTGAGGAGCAGTGGGAGCTGTTTGGGGCTCTCTGCTCTGCCTCCTCCTCCTGGTTTCCTTGTTTTGACCCTTTGACCATCCTGACTGCCCGAGTTTTCTTTTATTTGTCCCAAGTATTCATTTGGTTTCCTGGTCTTAGTGGATCCTCTCCCCCCTAGGCCGGTGGAGGGTCCTTTAGCCCTTGGTGGGCATAGGGATTCAAACTGGACCACAGACATTAGTGAGTTCAACTCTAGTGATTTTGCTGAGCCAAGGGACAGCTCTGTGACCGTTGCCCTTGCTGTGTCGGCTTCCACAGCACATCCCAGGCTCAGCCCTTACACTCGTTTGTGATTTCTGCACGAATGACCCCTGAGAAGACGCAAAGCCTCTCCGGGAGGCTACTCAGCCCTGTCTCATGAGTCTATGAGTCTATGAGTCTTGTACACGCAGAAGGGATGAAAGGCGCGCAAGGCGTAACAACCGCAGCAGCCCCTGTCCGCTCCCTCCCCACAGGCTGCCGGAGCCTGCTAGTGCCCAGCCTGCGGCAGGGGACGGACGGGCGCGCTCTCCCGCGCAAAGTCCGGGCCCTTTAAGGTGCATCCAGCCGG